ATGGATGGTTTCTTAGTAGTAAAAATGAACAAAGTTTTGCTCTGGAGATTCTATCAGAACTCCACAGCTATTATTTTTCCTTCAGTCTATCGAACAATAAAAAAGGATTTTTTTATGGGTATTATAACATTCGAATTCCTTAGAATCCTTGAATATTCTGCATAACGTCTAGGCTTATCTGTCGCTCACTAACAGAACAGCAGTAAATCAAAAGGTAACAGCTCTGCTAGGGAGGACGGTACTACATGGGCTACGCGAATGTCTGGGTAGTTCCACGACGAGATTCCTGCAGCCAGATGTGTGCTTGATGAGCTTGGTTCAATCAAGTGGTCAAAAAAGGCGAAAGTCTACTGGCTAGCAGAAAAACTCAAGAAACCAGTAATATAAGAATAAGACTAGCTAATTGACAAAGAGAAGAGTGTGCAGAGTTATGGTCTTGTTGAGTGTTATTACATTCATCTTTGGCACTATAATAGTAAACCTTATTATATCCCGACGAAAATAGTGGATGGTAACTGTTCATAGACCAGTATTATACATAGATTTTTATTGTTAAGTAACTAAACTATGTATATTCATATTCCTCTCATTATAAGCTTTATTTCGACTTACAGACTATTATTATACGATTTACACTTTTACGTTATGTCCAAGTTTATTAATTACAGTCTCCAACATTCACAACCACTTTTGGCTAGATCTTGGAAAAATGTTATTTTCTGTTTCATGTTGTGATGTGGTCTGTTTGGTTTTTATATAAACCCAGTATGTTTGAAATACATGATTCATAATGCGAAGGCTGGGATTTGTGTTTTGGACTGAACAGGCAGGAAAATGAATCGATAAGGACTCTAGACTGCTCGCACGACTTTATGCGTCATTGGTTCGGTCGACAAGTCACTGTTCTCTAATTGGCGGTATCATTACGTTATATGTTAATAGGGCACAATTTGTAACAGACATAATTTCAAAACTGTAGATTTGTCATCATATGGCTATCTAACCTAAGAAATTTTACGTGGAATTTACATCATGGTCTACTCTGAAACTTTCTATCGTAATAATCATCAATATAACGTTTAGGACCTCTGAAGAACACATTTGGTCTAGGGAGAGGTTAATATATTTGGTAAAAAGAAGCACGACGAGTGCATAGTCGATACATCCTATACCAATCAATGGTTCCCGCGTACATCACTTTTGACTTTCAAGCGCAAATGAATCTCAGTAATTATATGTTCAACTTCACAGAATGTGAGGAACGAATATCACCATAGGTGGTCCTTCAAGGAGAAAATTGATACTATGCATAGTATGTTAACAGCTTATCCAGATGAGCGATCGAATTTCCCAACAGTTATACACGTTGCTAACTATCTGAGGGGGCGCTATTTCGCTTCTCTAGTGATGATCATATTAATTAAACAATAGCAAATAAGATCAACTGTCCATTACGATAATCATCGAAGTCCAGTGCTTGAGTAAAACAAAATCAAGACAATCAGTGAGGAATTATGTAATATCAACTAATGGAACGATGATAAAACCTATAGTCAATAGTGATAGTCTAATTCGTGCCGGAAAATATAGTGAATATCCAAATAGATTCACCAAAAATACCTTGTTTACATTAAGAGGGTGATTAATTATTGTCATGCTGAATGTAAACATCATAGGATTTTTGCACTTACGAGAAAGATATAATAGGCATCACGAAGACGCTTACGTCCTTAAACAACCAACGAGAAACAAGGAATCTGGGGTATACACAGCTAATTTTCTCAAGATCCAGGACATATTAAATGGTGCGATAAGTATTAGTTGACATAACTATTACGTGAAATGAGGTCTTCGCAAATGATATACTTTGAAATTTAGTCCTATAAAACATGTTAATGAGAGAGGTATGTTAAGTGGTGGTATGCTCATATTTAGTAGTTGGTTAGAGAATAAACGAGAGGCACTTAGTACATGCAGATAATTGAGGACAGCATAAAAATTCTGCGTCAAACTGTATCTTACAGAAACTGTCCAGTTTCTTAGCAATACACTCCCGAACTTTTCTGAAAAAGCTTTTATAAACCGTTTTGTATGTTATAGACACTATAAAGATGGAAGGTGTCGCCATCATAAATGTCTATTAGGATCATCCAAAAGACAGGAGATTACAATGGTCTGGACAGCTGATTCGCAGCAACACTGTGGTAGGTTAATGTGTAACAGCTGTGCCAACAAACAAGAAGAAGGTTGATTCCGCTTATGGGTACTCATCTATATGACCATAACGCTCGACTGAGTGTTTCCATTCAGAGATGTCTGTTAAAACTAACTTGGTCAGCATTGATATTGTGTGTCTCAGAGCTAAAACGGTCAAAACGCTCATGGTAATTCAAAGCTACGTGAATGAACTTCTTTTTGATACTTAACTGTGACAAATAAAGCGCCTAATCTTGAATAAAACCGAGAGTATAGAAATAAGGGTGGAAAATAGACGATTGAGTTAGTAATCTAAAATGTCGGGTTTCTAGCTGCAAGTAATTGTCATGACTAATAGATGGAAGTTGTGAGTTGGTTTGTGATCATCAAGCAGTGCGAGAGATGTGCCTCTCACAATTCCGAGAAAATATCTGACAGATATATATATCAACTGAAAGTGATGCGGTGCAATTTCGAAATGTCCAATGGCTTCGTAAAGTAGGCTAGCTGTTGACTTACTGTTTGTTATACAGAAGTGGTAATAACTCATGTCACCCTTCATTAGAACTAGTGCTGCCTCACAGTCAAGACACGCAAAACGGTTGTAGAAACAGTGACTGTCCTCAGTATTTTCAATTTATCTATTGCTTCTGGTGTTACAAGCACTACTTTAGCTCAATTTTTTAGCAAACCTGTTAATGGTCGTAATTGTTGTGGGTAGTTAGAATGAAATTTATCTGTCTAATAAGTCCACTAAACTTCTTAAGCGAGTCTGGTATGGGATAATAATAGGGTTAGTGTGACGTCCTAAAGATTTCGAGCATTAACTATGAATCTAAAGTTTTCTTACCATATAAACATTTCTCAAGGTTAACGACCTAACATATTTTTGCGACCACTTATAACAATATCTTGAGGAATTGCATATGTTTTCAGACTGCCTCTGGATATGGGCGAGTCGTTAGTAGGAATAGAGATAAAAGGCGGTCTCTGTGCAGCGTGATAAATAAAGTACAGAAATGTTTGACGGACATCGGTGGACTCGAGGAGCACATACAGAAATCAATAGAGGCCATATAACATCATTGTTGAATTATAGTCTATCTCGGATATTGGTGCTACTAATATGATAGACCTAACCCTGAAGTTATAGATTTGTCATGGTATGAAAACCCAATCTATAAGATGTTACGTGGAATTCCTATCATTGTTTATTCTTTATCGTCGTATCGCGACACTCATCAGTATGGTATTTAGCACTTGCGAAGAACACAGACTGGAGATAGAACAATATATTCAATATGCATAAAAGAGTTAGGTTAAATGGGAATGACCCCGCTTACAGGACTGAGCCATGCCATCCGATTGAATGAATGTTCTCATGTTCACCATTCTTGACTTGTTCTTAGAGTTACATGGTGAAGGTGAATCTTCTCAGTGATTATATGTTCAGCTTCGAACCGGTAAAGAAGGAGGGTTACGCATGATGACGCCAACCACACCCTATATAATATAAACTTACCAAAAAACGCTAACCAGAATAAACAATTTAAACCATTTAAACTCTGCCCTTCAGGATCGGGGAAGAATTATGACGCCTCTGGAATCACGAGGACGATGCTCCTTCTAACAACCAGCGCGACAATGCTTATAGGTAAATCGAACGTCCGGACAGTGTAGGAGACTGGAAGAAACAGCAACGGAAATAAGAAGACACAACTTCGCAGTACTCAAGACCAGCGAAACCCATAGGATCTAAGCTGAACAGCAAAATCTAGATACGAAAGAGTTGCTGCCATGCTCCGGTCACGAAGAAGGAAATGCTCCAGACATGCAGGAAGTTGCTCTTATGCTATCCAAAGAAGCACCGAATGCACTTGTAGGATGAAAATCTCATGAATTCAGGGTTATCAGAGCACCCTTAAAACAAAGAAGGAGCTAACCACAGTGAATGTTATCCAGTGCTATGCACTCATCAGTGGTAACAGCGGCGACAATAAAGACTTGACCATCCTGATGGAAGACCTAATCTCCAACTTCAACCTCTCAGAAGGTGCTGAACCGCAAGAAACATTATAATCAGTGAATCTCGATGAGTGTTGGTACCCTACGACCTGAAATCATACGCGAACTGTGACAAAAACGCCTCTCAAGCAAACCTTGCACTGGTAACATTGAAGCGCATTTTTGGCCAGTTTGACGGTAGAACCTTCCACATAATCTTCAACAGTTTTATTCGTCCCCACTTAGAGTACGGAAACATAGTATTTCCTCCCTCCCTCCAAAAGGATAAGGTCACTCTGGAACGTATACAACGTCGAGCCACGAAATCAGTTCGGGGTCTCAAATTCAAACCTTATGAAGAGCGCCTCAAATCACTTAACCTTTACCCGTTAGAGTATAGGCGTCTTAGAGGTGATCTTCTTATGACTTATAGTATCCTTAATACTTCTGGTCATCCCCTTAAACACCTTCTTAAGCTTAGTCATAACACTAACCTCAGAGGTAACACCCAGAAATTGGAGACCCTACATAGCAGAACAGACTGCAGACACAACTTCTACTCCGTTAGAGTTGTCAAGTGCTGGAATTCGCTGCCAACTGAGCTAGTCCAAGCGACCTCCCAGGAGTCCTTTAAGAGAAAACTTGACTTATTCTTAAGGACTAAGGATAACATATTATTATGATTTACCAAATTCTTTTTTTTCTCCCTCTATTATCGTTCATATACCTAGGTTCTTGCCTGGAGGTATTGGTGATCCACTGCTACCAGACACGGAAGCCCGTTAAGCGAAAGCTTCTTCTATTCCGTCCTCAACCATTTGAACCATTTGAACCATTTGAAAAGCGCGTTGTATGGAGACGTTGTCACAGCGTCAGCTGTTTTTCGTGCATACCTTCATGGTCTATGTGTTTTGAGTTGCATGGCCGTATGTTACATTTTTCCTGAAAATATCTTGCGGAAATAAATAACTTTGAGTGTCAAGAAAAAATGTCCGTTTTAGTGAGAATGTGTAAACTTTGTGGTGGTCATATTGGTGAACAGTCAGAATTGTCCTTCGAAGACATGGTCACTAATTGGTTAGATGAGAATCCTGAATTTACTTTCAAGTACTTTGTCAAATCTGCATCTCCAAGCATGGTTGAAGCCTGGGCTAATGGACGTAATCATGGTGAATATGATTGCCTCTTTGATAACTCAATAACTGTTATGGACGAGCACAATGATAAAAGTGATGATAAAACTCAAGTTACCACTTCTCTATCACTACCTATACGTAAGATAAGCAGCCAGGATTTGGAATTGACCTATGACAAGCGTATTTTATCTTCCAACGAAGATGGAAGGCCCACATTTATAAACTCTGTGTTCTTTTCTTTCCCTTCCAATGAACACATCGATTCAAGTACTAGTTCTGTTCGTCAAACTGTGGCTTCGCCAAGTCGTCCGACACATCCAACTGAGAGAGATTTGATAAGGGAACTTGCTTTAGATATTTGTCGTGAACTTGACGTGACATCTTTATCCTTTAAAATTGTGCAGAATGTTTGTAGACTAATCAACGCTGATCGTGGATCGTTTTTCCTTGTGGAAAAGTCGCGTTCGACCGGTGAGGATGTTCTTGTTAGCAAACTTTTTGATATTACTCCTGAGTGTATATTTGATGATGTTTTACAGCGATGTTCCTCTAATCACATCATTGTTCCTTTTAATGTTGGTGTAACCGGCTACGTCGCACGAACCGGAGATTACGCAAATATTCCGGATGCATATGCCGTAAGTAATTTTGGTAACAACGTGTTAAGTTATATTTGTAAAGGGTGTCAGCCACCTAGCTGGTCAATAAACTATCTGAAATAATAACATAATTAACTCCTTCAATAAGTATTTGGGTATGAATTACATTTTAATTGTATGAGCTTATTATGTTGTCTAGTTGCCCGAGCCGAAATCGGTGAATCTGAGCTCGAACCTAGAACCAAGTGGTTCAAAATTGGATCCCTTAACTACTGACTCACTGCTTCAGACTATCGGTTTGAGTACTATTTGTAGACCTGTGTAGCCTTTTTTTGATTGCAAATATGTTTCAAATAATTTTTTGCGACCCCATAACGAAGTCTAGGATTGTAAACTTAGCTTCAAGCAATACGTTTTGTGTGGAGGTTAATAATAATACTGGACTACTGTCTCTAAACCACCAATCTTACAGCCCCTTGGAGATAGCTCAAGTCCACTGACGATGGCACAAGAGTACTCATTGTTTATCTTTCCAGAACCTAACGTTTTAGTATTACTTTATTCTTCTCATTAGTTCGTTTAATTTATTTCAATAGACTCATCACTTTCAGTTTTCATTATGGATATTTTTAATTCCTTATCCATCTTGTTAACTCATTCTCTCGTTGCACTAATATGAAACGTGACAACTCAGGTTGATCCACAGTTGTCCGAAGTTTTCAGTCATTTACGATTGGTTGAATGATTTTACACACTATTTTTGGTCAATCTGTCAGCTACGTTCGAATTCACCCAGGTTTAAAAGGCCAAAAACTAGTTTCGCAACTTGTTGTAGATTGGCCACTGCGTTCAATAATTATCTGAATTAGTAAATATGTTTGTTTGTTGGATGATAATGACTGAATTTAGAAGATTTTGCCAGTTTTATTTTTAGTACTTGCATCTGACTTCAAAAACTTGTTAACTACTGACATTTCTCCAAACCTTTTGGCAGGATCCTCGATTTGATGATTCTGTAGATCGTGTAACGGGATATAAAACGCGCTGCCTTTTATGCATGCCTATAAAAAATGTTGATGGAAAAGTGTTAGGCGTTGCACTGGTTATCAATAAGAAAGTTCCTTCTGATCAGCATCATGATCAAAGCATTAACTCGGTTCAACCTAGTAGTTGTGAGAGTGAATCAATCAGTAAACATGCTTCATTCACTGAAGAAGATGTAAAGATATTTCAATCATATGTTACATTCTGTGGTATTGGATTACACAATGCACAAATTTATGAGCAGAGTCGTTTAGAAACATACCGTAACCAAGTAAGTACTATCTGTTCTTCTATGACTTTACTTTGTATAATTCATTCTTAGATTTCGCAAGATTGGTTTTAGTACAAGCTATAACTCGCCAACGGTAAAATAAAGTTGGGGAACAGTATCCCAAATGTTTTTTTCTATTGAAAGCAAATTCACAATATACTTTGATAAAAGGAAAAGTGTGTAGTGGTAATGGGAAGAATTGTGAGCATCTGTTATTGAGAGAGTTGGGAATATAGATCATCCGGCTGCCCATAATTATCTGGCTTTCAATTGTCGTCTAACCGTTCTCGATTAATGGTAAAACTATCTTCGAAAACGTGTTAAATGTGACAAAAATAGGTTTGTTGCAAATGTTGATGTGTTTACTTACTTTTACTCGTACTTGAAGAGGTAATTAATTCTCATTCTTTCAATCGATATGGATTTACCAACCATTGCAGTCCGTAACTGTTGGACTTCTATTTTTCCTAGTATAGGGTTCCTCAAAGTTGTGGACTATTGATTTGCTTTAGTATTAATAGTAATTTGATCGTTCGATAGTTTATAAGCGATGACCTGTTTCTAAAATTCTTGAATGTTTGTAAAATACAACATTTTGGTGCAAGATCTTGTTTTTGTAGTTTTTATTAAACTTATTAAATGGTGAAACTATCTCTAAAATTAATCACTTATATTAAACATAAGTTATTAAAGTTTCTCTGTTGTGAAAGTCTTAGTTCATAGATTTAAAAATTATTGCATTTGTCTTCCTATGAATTAAGAAATTAAGTATACGAAGTTGAAAAAACGAAAATAATATATATTTATTCGTTAGAATATAGAAATGAGCTGCATGTTCACATTTACGTCAACCTAATTATCTGTTATCATATCATTATGTAATTCTATTTGGACGATTCAACTTGATACTCATGGTATTCAGCAGTTTTATTGGGATGATGTTTTACTGTGTTCATTTGTAAACTAGTGTTTTTAATTGAGAAATGATATTTATCAAAGGTTATCAAAACTGGAAAGTATTTCGCTCTCGGTATAGACTCTTCAGGGCCGTTTACTCTCCAATTGTTTCTACTACTCAACAATAAGCCTCTAGATTTAATGATAACGTATGCTGGCGTACAATTAAACTTAAGTTATTTAATGTGAAGAATATAATACTTTACATTAGTAAATTTTCGAATTCCATTGAAGAAAGGCATTCGACCGAAATAATCAAGCGATTACTTATGGACATAATGAGAATAATGAAATAAAATTCTGTACTCATATCAGAATCGTTCAACAGATTAAAACCGTCAGGTTCTATAATATGCGAACTAAATTAGTTACCTAAAATCTATAAGTCGTATCATTCAACTGCAAAACAGATAATTCATATCACTTTAATCAATAAAGTATCATATTAAAACAATTCTCATATGCAACTTTTCATATATCACTATTAGTGTGTTAAGTTAAATTAAGTAAGCTGTTCAGTTGTTCATTACTTTTATTGTCGTTTATTGTCTTTTAAAGTATATGGTCATTAAGTGATTCATTGTTAAAAATTATAATAATTAATCATTATATATCGTTCTTCTATACATCAAGTTTTAAACAATTAACTCATAATTACTAAGTTATATTTTCATTATGGGCAAACGTTATCTTAAAACAAATTTCTGTATTTGTTTCATATAAATTCATTTAAATACCTTCATTCAGCACTATGCGTAGAAATCTATGCTAGTTATTTGTTTCATAAAATCAAAACAATGAAGGTTATGTTATAGTCTGTCGACATATGAATTGGTTATTTCACATGATGTTAAAGTCAGTTATAGGGAATTACCTACACTTTAATATTCGTCACTTATTATTTTGGTTAGTGTATTGTGTGAATTTAACGAAGTTGTAATTTGCTTGAAAAAAGTACACATTCTATATATATATACCCTGGTGTTAAAGTGTTACAAACAATTAGGAAACAATGATTGACTTCATATTATTACGATTTATTAACAAGATTTATTTAATCACTTGTTCAAATAACTGACCAACTAGTTTTGTTTATATGATTATTGAATTATTGAGTTGACAGATTTTTATTGAATGATATTGTTGCTTAATAGGGAATGTAAATTGCCAGTTAATTTTAACAGTAGTATAACGTATCATAGTTTATATTACTCGACATTTTGACTAATTTTACCACACGTTCAACCCTTTCATATTATGTAATTTGATTTTGACAGTTTGTTAGTATCATTGGTTTTTATATACAATAAGTATAGTTTAAAACTAAACATGTAAGCCTTTTAGTCAACTACTGATTAGTGTATAAAGTGTATAATCACTTTTTGATTTAACTATGTATTGTGTTAAAATTATTTGGTGCAAAGCAGTAACTAATTAGTGGTTAAAAACACCGACCTTTTGACTAATAAGTTACAGGTTTGAACTGTTCTCCATATATTTCTGTCTGGGCAGCCAGGTGGTATCAGTAAGACGCCATTACAAACGGCATGCTTCCAAACTCGATACATGAACCTGCAAAGTATATATGATGTGGCAGTGTTTGTCACTAAAAGGAGTACCAAAGAAGTACATTAACCTCATAAAGGCTCTCTACTCGAACACAACTGGTCGAGTTAGAGCTTATGGCCAACTGTCGTCAGAATTGATTATCTCAATTGGTGTTCCTCAGGGCTGTCCACTCTCTCCATTCTTGTTCACCTTTGTCGTTTACATGCTTTTAAAGATAACACTTTCATCATCTAAATCTTCCGGAGTGTAACTTTTACCTGGCTTTGTTGCGTCGTGCTCGTACGGCGAGGCATTCAATTCTGTTGTGGCGTAAATCTGATTCCTTTTTGATCGTATGAATGATTGTTTGTTGTCAAAATATACATACTGTCTATCCTCGTATGTAATAAATGACTTTATTCCGCGTTGGTGAACAACGTAGTTAAATACGTCAAATACGAGAATGGATTTAGAATACATATAATTTCTACACTCATTGGTCTGGCCAGGGAATCAGAGTGACGAGGCGAATAGATGAGAGCGGAACGAAGCAAAGATCATGCGCAATGGAGATGGCTGGGAAGCCAACTCGAGAGTGAAGCAAAATAATGCGTAGTGGAGATGGCGGAGAAGCCAACTCGATATGAGCAAGCATTACTCAATATTTATAATCAGGCAAAAGTGAATGACAGACATATGATGAATAGGATACGAAGTGTGCACATATATGCTCATATAAAAGTATAGTCAATGTTAATAAGCAAATGATTAACAAGATCAAAATATGACTCATAATGGATAGGCGAATCGGCTTGGCCAGCAACTAGAATAAAGTATATGGGCTTAACATATAAACTGATACTACAGCTTGTTGACTTGTTGACTTAAAATACGCCGATGACATAGTTCTATTTGGTAAAGATGCTGACAAAATGCAGAGTCTTCTGACCACTATAGGCAACAATGTAGGCATGTTCGGGATGCGATTCTCCCCCTGGAAGTGCAAAATGTTACTACAGGATTGGGTTGCATCGACACCTGAACTAATGATAGGGAGTGAAGTAGTTGAGCGTGTTGAACGCTTCACTTATCTCGGGAGTCTCATCAGCCCTTGTGGTCTGGTGTGTGACGAAATCTGAGCACGGGTACAGAAGGCTCTACTAGCTTTCACCAACTTGCGTCATTTATGGCGTAGGCGAGATATCCGTCTAGCAACCGATGGACGTGTTTATTGTTCAGCAGTTCGTTCTGTCCTACTTTATAGCGGTGAAATATGGCCGGTAAGAGTAGAGGATATTCGTAGGCTGCTAGTATTCGATCATAGGTGTCTTCGAAGCATTGCTCGTGTATCCTGGGACTACTGAGTAAGTAATACAGTTGTTAGAAAACGGGTACTATGTAAGGATGGCAAATAGATTGATTGAAGTAGTGAAACTTCATCAGTTGAGATGGCTGGGACACGTGTTACGTATGCCCAACCATCGAGTGCCCCGATATGCGATCTTTTATGGTGTAGGAGTAAGTTGGAAGAAAGCTAGGGGCGACCAGACCAAAACGTGGCACAAGTACATGAAGTCACTGACAATTGGACTGAGCTATGCTTGTAGGTGTAGATTACCTGGTTGGGATCCGCGAAATGATAGAAATCGATGGTTAGAGACCTTGAATGACATGGATCACAGTCGTTTACAGTAGCGAAGGTGCATCCACTCTTTGTGTTCTCCCGAATTCTAATCTTCTGAATTCTTCATGTCTCTATCCTTTTTCTCTTTCCAAATTTATTTCACTGGAATATACTCCTTGAATAACATCTTCAAACCCTTATCTTTCGGATTACTGTTTATACTTTTACTATTTCTACCACTATGGGATTTGAATCGACAACTGCATCTGTTTGTTAATGTTGTATGGCAACTCGAACTGATGTACGTACGTACGAAGTTCTACATTGTGACTGACTGACTGACATGGTATATTAGTTATATTTGAAAGGATATTGTTTATCTAGTTCACAGTGCTGATCGAATCCTATCTACTAAGTCACATCATAGCTACTATTATAAGTAACTCAACATTGTGTAGAATCTATTTTTATGTCAGATAATTAGCTCGTTGCATCTTATTAAAAATTCAACATTCCTTTTTATATGTTATTAGTTAATTTTTACTCTCTCAACTATTATTATTGTTATCATTATTGTTATGCCTGTCTCTTTATTCTAGGTACTTTTGGAACTTGCACGAATTATATTTTCAGAACAACTTGATATAACTCGTCTTATTTATTCAGTATTATCACATACAATTTGTTTACTACAATGCCAACGTTGTCAATTACTTTTAGTAAAAACAACTTCATCTATATCATCTTATTCTTCAATTGATGAGGTAAGTAATTAGTAGGAAGAGCCTTAAAAAAAATTTTAATCTGATATATTCATTATGATATTTATGATGATGAGACTGACTTTAAAAAAAAACAAATAAGCGTTCAAAATCTAGTTAAACTTAGTATTAAGCTCCTTATCAAGTTGTATATTTACTCCTATAGATTTCTGTAAATTTCCAAGGTCGTTTTATCATGAAGAATAGCTGGGAAACATGAAATTATTACTGATCTAATTGTTGTTTAAGACTCATCAGCAGTTCTGTTATTTGTTGTAATTAAATTAAGTAGGTGGATTAAAAAGTGAGTGATTATAGTTTATTGTATGGAAATTAATAAGGAAGTGTTTAGTTCTATTTCAGTGTGTATTCTAACCCATATATTTGATAGGAGCTAGTGAAAGTGCATGGCTGACGAAACTCAAGTAAACTAAGCAGTTTGGGAACTCTGACAGCCTAATCATCTCCCCATTGTATCTTATCTCCTTCAATTCTAGATTGGTCTGTATGGGTATTTAGTTTATATAAGGTGTTAGGAAATAATTATCGTTTCTTTAACCTCGATATTTTCATTGGTTGTGATGTATTGGTCACTGATGGATTCATTACATGGATATACAGAAAAGTTTTAGGATGAAGTGTTTGCTGGTCTGCCAACAAACAAGGTGACTGCTTAATCTCTCATCATACTCTACAATTGTAATATATGAATTTCCAATAAAAAACGAATGGCTTGGATTTGTTTGCTCTAAACTGGTCAAACAAATAGTCTTGAAGTCAAACTCTAATTGTTTAAAGTCACGTATTTGCTGATCATAATGAACTATACTGACGAATCAATGACATTTAAGATAGCGCCTTTTGAGTTTGTATGCGAAATTTGAAACCCAGTAGTGAATAGCAGAGATGGATAGTGGCTAGCAGTGGAATCCAGGACGCGCGTTTCGTCCTATTTGGGACTCGTCAGCTGGATGTACCTGCATCTCAGAGTTGATGTTCACTCTGGGACTCGAACCCAGTACCCTCGCTTCAAACGCCATCGCGTTATCCACTCGGCCACTGAGTCCTGATAGCAGCAAGTGGCTATCAGGACTCAGTGGCCGAGTGGATAACGCGATGGCGTTTGAAGCGAGGGTACTGGGTTCGAGTCCCAGAGTGAACATCAACTCTGAGATGCAGGTACATCCAGCTGACGAGTCCCAAATAGGACGAAACGCGCGTCCTGGATTCCACTGCTAGCCACTATCCATCTCTGCTAACCATGCTTGTGAATTAAGGTATATCGAGGCAATACGCACAGTATGCACATATGCCAATTAGAGACTGACCAGTTGCAGTCCTAACAAATCGATGGGAAGATTCAAACAAACAATACTAAGTTGAATTTAAACTTCACCCCATCGCACAAGCAAGTGGCTATCAGGACTCAGTGACCGAGTGGATAACGCGATGGCGTTTGAAGCGAGGGTACTGGGTTCGAGTCCCAGAGTGAACATCAACTCTGAGATGCAGGTACATCCAGCTGACGAGTCCCAAATAGGACGAAACGCGCGTCCTGGATTCCACTGCTAGCCACTATCCATCTCTGCTAACCATGCTTGTGAATTAAGGTATATCGAGGCAATACGCACAGTATGCACATATGCCAATTAGAGACTGACCAGTTGCAGTCCTAACAAATCGATGGGAAGATTCAAACAAACAATACTAAGTTGAATTTAAACTTCACCCCATCGCACAAGCAAGTGGCTATCAGGACTCAGTGGCCGAGTGGATAACGCGATGGCGTTTGAAGCGAGGGTACTGGGTTCGAGTCCCAAAGTGAACATCAACTCTGAGATGCAGGTACATCCAGCTGACGAGTCCCAAATAGGACGAAACGCGCGTCCTGGATTCCACTGCTAGCCACTATCCATCTCTGCTAACCATGCTTGTGAATTAAGGTATATCGAGGCAATACGCACAGTATGCACATATGCCAATTAGAGACTGACCAGTTGCAGTCCTAACAAATCGATGGGAAGATTCAAACAAACAATACTAAGTTGAATTTAAACTTCACCCCATCGCACAAGCAAGTGGCTATCAGGACTCAGTGACCGAGTGGATAACGCGATGGCGTTTGAAGCGAGGGTACTGGGTTCGAGTCCCAGAGTGAACATCAACTCTGAGATGCAGGTACATCCAGCTGACGAGTCCCAAATAGGACGAAACGCGCGTCCTGGATTCCACTGCTAGCCACTATCCATCTCTGCTAACCATGCTTGTGAATTAAGGTATATCGAGGCAATACGCACAGTATGCACATATGCCAATTAGAGACTGACCAGTTGCAGTCCTAACAAATCGATGGGAAGATTCAAACAAACAATACTAAGTTGAATTTAAACTTCACCCCATCGCACAAGCAAGTGGCTATCAGGACTCAGTGACCGAGTGGATAACGCGATGGCGTTTGAAGCGAGGGTACTGGGTTCGAGTCCCAGAGTGAACATCAACTCTGAGATGCAGGTACATCCAGCTGACGAGTCCCAAATAGGACGAAACGCGCGTCCTGGATTCCACTGCTAGCCACTATCCATCTCTGCTAACCATGCTTGTGAATTAAGGTATATCGAGGCAATACGCACAGTATGCACATATGCCAATTAGAGACTGACCAGTTGCAGTCCTAACAAATCGATGGGAAGATTCAAACAAACAATACTAAGTTGAATTTAAACTTCACCCCATCGCACAAGCAAGTGGCTATCAGGACTCAGTGACCGAGTGGATAACGCGATGGCGTTTGAAGCGAGGGTACTGGGTTCGAGTCCCAGAGTGAACATCAACTCTGAGATGCAGGTACATCCAGCTGACGAGTCCCAAATAGGACGAAACGCGCGTCCTGGATTCCACTGCTAGCCACTATCCATCTCTGCTAACCATGCTTGTGAATTAAGGTATATCGAGGCAATACGCACAGTATGCACATATGCCAATTAGAGACTGACCAGTTGCAGTCCTAACAAATCGATGGGAAGATTCAAACAAACAATACTAAGTTGAATTTAAACTTCACCCCATCGCACAAGCAAGTGGCTATCAGGACTCAGTGGCCGAGTGGATAACGCGATGGCGTTTGAAGCGAGGGTACTGGGTTCGAGTCCCAAAGTGAACATCAACTCTGAGATGCAGGTACATCCAGCTGACGAGTCCCAAATAGGACGAAACGCGCGTCCTGGATTCCACTGCTAGCCACTATCCATCTCTGCTAACCATGCTTGTGAATTAAGGTATATCGAGGCAATACGCACAGTATGCACATATGCCAATTAGAGACTGACCAGTTGCAGTCCTAACAAATCGATGGGAAGATTCAAACAAACAATACTAAGTTGAATTTAAACTTCACCCCATCGCACAAGCAAGTGGCTATCAGGACTCAGTGACCGAGTGGATAACGCGATGGCGTTTGAAGCGAGGGTACTGGGTTCGAGTCCCAGAGTGAACATCAACTCTGAGATGCAGGTACATCCAGCTGACGAGTCCCAAATAGGACGAAACGCGCGTCCTGGATTCCACTGCTAGCCACTATCCATCTCTGCTAACCATGCTTGTGAATTAAGGTATATCGAGGCAATACGCACAGTATGCACATATGCCAATTAGAGACTGACCAGTTGCAGTCCTAACAAATCGATGGGAAGATTCAAACAAACAATACTAAGTTGAATTTAAACTTCACCCCATCGCACAAGCAAGTGGCTATCAGGACTCAGTGACCGAGTGGATAACGCGATGGCGTTTGAAGCGAGGGTACTGGGTTCGAGTCCCAGAGTGAACATCAACTCTGAGATGCAGGTACATCCAGCTGACGAGTCCCAAATAGGACGAAACGCGCGTCCTGGATTCCACTGCTAGCCACTATCCATCTCTGCTAACCATGCTTGTGAATTAAGGTATATCGAGGCAATACGCACAGTATGCACATATGCCAATTAGAGACTGACCAGTTGCAGTCCTAACAAATCGATGGGAAGATTCAAACAAACAATACTAAGTTGAATTTAAACTTCACCCCATCGCACAAGCAAGTGGCTATCAGGACTCAGTGACCGAGTGGATAACGCGATGGCGTTTGAAGCGAGGGTACTGGGTTCGAGTCCCAGAGTGAACATCAACTCTGAGATGCAGGTACATCCAGCTGACGAGTCCCAAATAGGACGAAACGCGCGTCCTGGATTCCACTGCTAGCCACTATCCATCTCTGCTAACCATGCTTGTGAATTAAGGTATATCGAGGCAATACGCACAGTATGCACATATGCCAATTAGAGACTGACCAGTTGCAGTCCTAACAAATCGATGGGAAGATTCAAACAAACAATACTAAGTTGAATTTAAACTTCACCCCATCGCACAAGCAAGTGGCTATCAGGACTCAGTGGCCGAGTGGATAACGCGATGGCGTTTGAAGCGAGGGTACTGGGTTCGAGTCCCAAAGTGAACATCAACTCTGAGATGCAGGTACATCCAGCTGACGAGTCCCAAATAGGACGAAACGCGCGTCCTGGATTCCACTGCTAGCCACTATCCATCTCTGCTAACCATGCTTGTGAATTAAGGTATATCGAGGCAATACGCACAGTATGCACATATGCCAATTAGAGACTGACCAGTTGCAGTCCTAACAAATCGATGGGAAGATTCAAACAAACAATACTAAGTTGAATTTAAACTTCACCCCATCGCACAAGCAAGTGGCTATCAGGACTCAGTGACCGAGTGGATAACGCGATGGCGTTTGAAGCGAGGGTACTGGGTTCGAGTCCCAGAGTGAACATCAACTCTGAGATGCAGGTACATCCAGCTGACGAGTCCCAAATAGGACGAAACGCGCGTCCTGGATTCCACTGCTAGCCACTATCCATCTCTGCTAACCATGCTTGTGAATTAAGGTATATCGAGGCAATACGCACAGTATGCACATATGCCAATTAGAGACTGACCAGTTGCAGTCC